ACACACACACACACACACACACACACACACACACACACACACACACACACACACACTCCAATGACCCTAAAACTCATAAATGATGAATATAATCAAAACTTTTATCTTATTTGAAGCTCTTACTCTTTGGTTTAGGTTCTTCTTCCTCCTCTACCTCCCCCTCAAGGTCATGTGGTGCATAGTCCATGAGATTCTGGACCGCATGAGAGCCAACAAGAGCCAGCTGACCAAATGCTCGATGCTCCACCACAAACACTGTCAGAGGAGGGTGGAGGTAGGACTGCTCTGGCAGCTCCTGATTGGACCAACAGTAAGCAGGTGGATGTCAGTTTTGTGCTGCGTGCACCCAATTTATGGAGTTTTCCAAATGTCTGAGCTTCGTTTATCTCATTGTGACCGGAACTGACCACGTCAATGTAGCGGACCACCTCTTTAAAGTTTGGGTTGGCCTTGTAGCTCTGGATCTCCTCAGACTCCAGCTGATGTCCTGCGCACTCCACCCTCACCAGTGGACGCTCCACCTCGAACAGCTGCACCCGCTTCAGGTCCCGCAGACCCCAGAACAGCACCTAAAGTCAAGTCAAGTTTATTTATTAAGCACATTTGAAGCAGCAGCTGTCACCAACGTGCGTAACAGTAAAATCAAAGCAGTAAAAAAAAAAGACGTAATTAAAAGCATAAAAACATAAAAACAATGAGAAACAATGAAATATTAAATCAAATCACACTGTGTTAAATGTCAGTGAAAACAGGTGTGCTTTCACAAGATATTGAAAAGCAGGAAGTGAAGTGGCCTGTCTAATGTTGAGGGACAGATTGTTCCAATGTTTGGGGCAAACGACTGAAAAAGCCCAATCTCTTCTGCGCTTCAACCAAAAGCAGCAGGTCAGATGTTCTCAGCGCCCGAGAAGGAACATATGGTTGACGTAGGTCAGAGAGGTATGAGGGTGCAAAGACATTTATGCACTTAAAGGTCAACAGGAAAATGTTTTAATTAATTCTGGTATGCACAGGGAGCCAGTGAAGGGAGGACAAAACAGGTGAAATGTGCTCAAACATACAAGTTCTTGTTAATCGCCGAGCTGCAACATTTTGGACGAGCTGGAGACACGAAAGGGACATCTGACTGACCCCAACAGAAAGCGAGTTACAGTATTCAAGTTGAGTTGTAACGAAGGCATTGATTATTTTTTCAAGGTCAGATCTGGTCAACGTGAACTTAAGCTTAGCTATCTGCCTTCACTGGAAGAAGGTTTTTTTTGTGGAACAGTTAACCTGTTTATGACACAAACACACACAGGAGCATGCAGGAGTCAGTCACACGTGCGCAGCATCCAAAGAGCCTGAGTGCGTGACTGAGTGTTACCTCGATCCTGAACGTCTTCAGGACAGGTCGGACTCCCTCTGGGATGACGTAAGACCTCTGCACATCATCGTAGGTCAAGTTCTGAGGGTCCACGCCGATGGGGAGACCAGGCTGTGAGGAGGAGGGAGCATCTTCTCGTTAACAATCTATTACAGGTATCGTATTTTCCGCCCTATAAGTCACACTTTGTTGCATAGTTTACATGCCCTGTGACTTATAAGCTGAAGTGACATATTAATGGATTTTTCCCCATATTTATAAACCAATTTTTGGCTGAGACATGACCGTTTTCATTCATTCTGACTGAAAAATAATAATAATTGAGCAGTATCACTTTCAGCCACTAGATGGAGGCAGAGAAGTAATAGAAGTATGGCATGCCGTTGTATCATGTAATAGGTAAACGTGGTTATAATGACAAATTCAAAAAAGTCCAAGACAAAAACAACTGGACTTTATTTATTATACTTTATTGTTTTTTCTTTTAACTTTTTTGAATTTACCATGTCCTGAATGACTGAGAATCTTCACCAGCTATTAATAGACTGTATTTGGACTGTACTTATAAAGCACCTTTCTAGCTTAACAAGACACTCAAAGAGCTTTACACTACAATCTGTGTCCTCATTTACCCGTTCATACAGCACTCTACTAGATCTCTACAAAGCTAATTGAACAAATCATTCTAAAGAGAATAATCCGTGCTTTATCACATTCATACAGTGATGGGACACACATCAGAGGCAATGAGGGGTTCAGTGTCTTGCCCAGGGACACTTCAGCATGTGACTGCTTGTGGATTCGAACCCCCAACTCTGGCATTGGAGGACGACTGCTCTAACCACTCAGCCACAGCCACCCCATATTAATGACTCAATCGGCCTGCCATATATCCCCACCTTCATTCTGCTCGCTGCTTGGACCGATCGTCAAACCAGATGCACCGCCCCGGCAAAATGCAGCCAATTTGACCATTAAAGTGCATTTATTAAGCAAACGTTAGACTGAGACACACCTTTCATATAATTTCGAGCAAACAAATAATTGTTTTTAGGCATTTGTCTTGTTAAATTTGCACACTTCCTGTGCATATTCCCACTGCCGCCATTTGGCAGCCAATCGATTTTTGGCACAACACCACCCCGCATTTCTGGGTTGTCAGCGGTGACACATAATAGATACGACGTATACGGCGAAGCGACGTATTTATGGATTTTTCCACTTAATTAGACAAATATGGACTGATGCAACTTATAGGGTGGAGCGACGTGTAGGGCGGAAATTACGGTACTAATTGCAAACTATATAACCAAACATTTATTCTGAACTACATCAAATGGTGCATTTAGAAAGAGTTTACTCCATTAGTTTTCTAGATAGACTGAATGCAAATCTAAAGTTTGCATATAATAAAACTGACAGGTAATTAAATGACAAACGGAGGTGATGAAGACTGATGGACGTCACCTCTCCAAACCCGGAGTAGTCGAGCTCGATGAGCTCAAAGGCAGCCAGCAGCTCCCCAGCAGGAAGCCTTCCCCGGATGATGTCATAAAACCGCAGGCGGGGTTTCTCGTAGAACTGCTCCACAGTTTTAAACTCCGGCTCAGCAAACGCTCGACCCAGAGGCTTTGGAGGGCCCTGCACACACATGCACGCACAAATGTTCTGAGGCAAAAACTGATCAGTTTAAATTGTTTTTAACTCGACATCAGTCCGTGATATGGATTAGATTTAAATACGAGAGATGAAACATTGTCAGTCGACTAAATTATTAAGACTTTTTCTATTTCACCGTATAAAAATTAAGTTACCACGTTGTCGTGGTCATAGACGTTGATGATGATGAGGGGTGGGTCTTGTTGAAGTTGCTCCTTCGTTCCTTCAAGCAGGACTCTGTCAAACAACAAGCACTCGTTCCAGGAGGGGGAGAGAGTGTCTGACAACATCTGTACAAAGAAACACAAATTTTATTCATCATTATTTAAATACAAATTTAAGTGTTGAACCCTTTAAGAACAATTAAAGGCTGCAGGACGTACCCTGGTGACCTGGCACTGTGTAGAGAAGACCACCCTGGCAAAAGGATCTGACAGGCCGTCATCATCTGCAGCCATCAGGCCTCGGCCCTGGTACAGGTGACACCGTAACTGGAAGTACCTGCTGTCTGCAGAGGTTCGGAGGTTTACCTTTTATCTGAACAGAGCATGCGACAACATGGTCCATGCAACAGAGCATGCGACGTACTGCTCCCCTTTCTGGAGAGGTCAGGTGACTCACCCTCACAGGACAGACTGACAGGAAACTTCCTCCTCTCGCCCACAGGAACCAGCCTCCTCTGAGTTTCCTCCTCCTCCTCGTACACAGGTGTGAATTCCTCTGGAAGGCTGTTGATGGCCTCTTTACTGTACTTGACAGGACCGAGCCACAGGTAGACCTCCAGCTTCGCAAAGACCTCACTCGCCGAATATCCTGGAGACTAAAGGAGAGAAATTTGGACTGTTTGAACTTCACAGCAGCGAGCAGAAAATTGAGCTAGCATGTAAGCTACGGGAAGATTTTGAGTAAAACCCATCAAGTAATATGAATAATATAAAAGAGACTGAATCAGATACGTTCAGAGTCAGATATTAGAAAAAAAAAACATTTTCAGTGAGAGGAAGAGGTTGAAGGTTGACAGAGGTTAAAATAGTTGCTAAGGTTTTCCAGCTTTAATCTGCCTTCAACATCATCCAGTTTGATTTGTTCCGTCTCAAACTTGTCCTAAACGCCGACAAAACCAAAGGGATGCTGTTTTCAAACAGGAAGTCGTTCCCCGCAGTTCTTCCTTTGATTTTATCCTCGAACGGTGCTCCTATTGAGTTTGTCGATTCCTATAAATATTTGGGTATCTTCGATTCGCTCTCTCTTTTAAGCTCCACGTGGAAAACTTGGTAAAGAAACTGAAAGCTAAACTGGGTTTCTTTTTCGGAAACAGATCCTGTTTAACTCTGAATGCTAAGAAACACCTTGTGACTGCAACTTTCCATCCCTCCATTGATTACGGTCACATTATTTGCATGAATGTTCCTACAAGCACCCTGTAGATGTTGGATGCTGTCTATCATGGTGAAATATATATATATCATGGAAGATCCATAACTGGTTGTAACTATCGTACCCACCACTGCACCCTGTACTCACTGGTTAACTGGTCATCATTAACTTTACGCAGACTCTCCCACTGGTACATTTTCATCTTTAAATCTTGGTCTGCTGCCTTCATCTCCTCCTACATGTCTCTGCGTGAGTGCAGCTACAGCGTGCGCTCTCAGGACATTATTACCTGCAGTGTCCCCTCAGTGAGGACTGAACTAGACAAAAGTGTCTTCTCCTACTCCGCTCCTGTTTCCTGGAATATCTTGCAAAAAGATCAGAAGCTCTCGACCTTGACCTCTCTAAGGGACTTTGAACATCTGTTAAGTTCCTGGCAAGAACTAATGCAGACATGTTCCTGTTTTTGGTTTTCTACACCACCTTACAAACTAGCTGGGGTTTTTTTTTTTTTGGTTACTTTTCCTTTTAAATACCATTTTATTTTCACTTGTTAAAAAAAATTCTCAATTTGTACACATCCTTTATGATTGTCTGTTACTGGCTTTGTTGTCCACTGTTGTCATCACTCTGTTAAAACCAGGTCTCTCTTGTAAATGAGTCCCCGAGGCTCAATGGGATTAACCTGTAGAAATAAAGTTTGAATGAATGAATGAATGAAGACTGTACAGATAGTTTGAAGCCAGATGCACATCTGTCACTAACTGCGAAGCTACTTGCCAATAAATAAAGAACAGACTTTCAACAGGTAACTTAATACAAATTAAACTGTATTTATGGAAGAAGATAGAAAAGACTGTAGACTTATTCTAAGATTTAAATTTCCCCTTCTTGACGAGGTGGCGAGAGAGAGGAGAGGTCAAGTCTAAAAAAGTCTCAGGTCATGGTTCCCGACTGGAAAGCGGTGGAATGCTCCGTCTGGGTCAGAGGTGAGTCTCTACTTCAAGAGGAGAACTTCAAACATCTGGAAGTCTTAATCATAAGTGACTTTAGGCTGGAATGAGAGATGGATCGAAGGATAAACTCCTCATCCACAGCAATGATGGTGTCCCTTCAGTCTGGATGCTGAAGAAGGAGCTGAGTGGAAAGCCAAAGTTCTTGATTTACTTGTTTACGTTCTGACCCTCACCTGTGGTCTTGAGGTACCAAGACCAAAAGAACATCTTAGGTACAAGAAGCTGAAAGGAGTTTCCCCTGAAGGGCTGCTGCTCCTCCCCATCAGAAGGAGTCAGCTGGGGTGGTTAAGACATTTGAACAGGATGTCTCCTAAGCACCTCCGTCTGAAGGTTTTCTGGACACTTTCCACTGGGAGGAGAGCAGACAGACCCAGAACTTATCGGAGAGATTCTGTTTCCTCTCTGACCTTTGAACACCTTGGGATCCACAAGAGAGTTACTGGGAGAGGAATTTATTCAGGTCCCGTTTGAACCTGTTGCCTCCGTGACCTGACCATGGATAAGATACAGTGTGATGGACAGACGCTGGAAATAAATTACTAGAAACAGACTATGTTTGTTTTGAATGAATTCAACTATTTCAGATATTATTTTGGATTAAAATGATGTATTGTGACATCATCTGTTCAGCATCATCTGTGACGTCGATGACTTAAAACACAGTTTAATAACCTTCATGTAGAGGGTGGTGATGCGGCCACAGTCCCGCCCCTTTTGCTCCTCGACCAACGAGAACAGGATGGAGTGGGCGGGGATCCTGACGTACGACAGTCGCCTGTTTCCACTGAGCAACCAAAGGAAGGCGTCAGGGATGGTGCTCTGAGGCTGGAGGGAAAGCACAACAAACTTCAATCAAATCGCCCGTCCAGTCTTCGTGGTGACCTCTAGGCAACCCAGTAATGTCTGACCTCTGCAGCCAGGAGGCGGAGCTTCTTTAGAATTTTCCTGCCATCCATCATGCGCTGTTTGGTGTTTTTTCTAGAAATTCTCCTTCTGGCCCTGACCGCCTGTCTGGCTAGCAGGACCTGTGGACAGTCAGGCAGTCAGACAGACAGGGAAAGAAACAGGCAGCCATATTTTTAAATAAGAACACACTCACCAAATTCTTTTTGATAAACCCCTTCCTACGTTTGTCCAGGGTATTGGGACGAGATTGAGATCTTTTCTCTGAAAAAGCACTGAACTGTCTGCAGAGGAAGAGAACAACATTAAAAAAAAAAAAAAAAAGGTTGATGAATCGATGTCAGAGGAAGTTTGGTCAAGGTCAAGGATGTTTATCACTAACTAATGTTAACTGTCCACGAACTGCCCATGAACCATGTCTTTGAGTTAGCAGAGAGAGCTGAATGAGGAGCTGATTTGACACTGCATGTGCAGCTGGTACTCCAAGGTCACCTCGGAGTCTGCGTGCTCGGAGGAGCTGATAAACGTGTACTATAAAAACAATCCTCGCACACTGTCCGGTGCAGATACTCTCGACTGGGCTTCAATGAAACCTGTTGTGACCGTCTGTCCTGGCAAGTAAAACTCACTTAAATATCTTCTAGTGTCCTCGTGTGGCTTCTTTTTAGACTTAAGATGAACAGAGGATATTTTTAATCCAACAATCAAATACAAAGTTGTTGTTGTTGTTGTTAAGTTTTCATATAGAAGAAGCTCACTTGCAACTTGCGAGCAGTTCCAGTAGCACCTCAACCAGTCGCTCCTTCGCGTTACTCTTCGGCCTCCTTAACAGTCTTTCCACCTCGTCGAGACCAATCTCCTGGAAAGTAAGAACCATGGAGGTGGTTTTAAACATTGCCTACAAGACTCAGGGTCACTCCTGAGAACAGAATCAAAATAACGTGTCTCTGACCAGCCTGTCGGCCATCTTGCTGAGCCAGTTGGCCTGAAAGAGACGAAAGCAGTGATCTTCGAACTGGCTCCAAACGAACAGGCAAGGTTTGGTTTTCACTGAAGGAGGCTGGAGCTGAAGACACTGGAAAGACCTGAAAACAAAAATCGAGACCAGTGTGGGCTTATGCGTACAAGGACAGGAAGTCCCTCCACTGATTTTACCTGTCGTATTCAGTGGGCTGAGGTCTCATGGCAGCAGACACAGATCTGTTCTCAGATTCAGGATTCTGCACCTCCTCTCTGTCCAGCTCGTCCTCAGACTCCAGCAGAACCCGCGTCTCCTCAGTCAGGTCTTCTCTGCTCATCCTCAGCTCTTCCCTACTCCTTCTTAGCTCCTCTCTGCTCTGACTTTTCTTGGATTTACCAAGTCTCACCACCTTCCCATAGTTTCCTGACAATACAAAAAGAAAGATGAGAAATGAAATATGACACGGGAACATCAACATGTTCTGGCTGAGAAATGAACAAAACCACATGTTGAATAAGACCAAAACAGGCCTTAATGCTGCTCTTCAGGGTGCACTTCTCATGAAGATTAAAGTTTATATCTCTGAGAACCCAAATGGCTGCATTTGGTTCTTAAATGCCACATACGTAGCCAAGCTTAGCGAGAAGCCAGAAAATTAATTCAACCTTAAACAAGAGATGTATTTGCTATAAATTTATTTGTATAATCTGGTTCAAGATGTAATAAAAAAATTAAATTGGTTGGAGCATGTGTCATATCACGTCTCGGATAAACACTAAAATGTTTGTTTATTTTTTCTGCAGAAATGCAGTGTAAATGAGTAGGTCTGATGAAGAAGTTATTAAATAGTAACTAAATATAAAGACAGTAATCTAATAATATAATAAAGCCTAAAAGCTAAAAGAAGCAGAACACTAGCTTAAAGAAGCAAATTACTAGCTGAAAACAAAAACTATAAAAAGGCTAGCTAAAAGCTGTATGTAGCAAAAATATAATCTAAGAGCTTAAAGCACCAAAAGGCTAGTATGGGGCGCTGTTTGTAAAGTTACACAGTCCAAAATTAACAGCAATATTTTTGGTTTATTTAGCCTTTCATAAGAAAAAAAAAGTTTTTTGTTTTTTCAAAGTCATATTGTCACCATGTTATTCGTATGTTTATAAATGTCATAGTTCCAAACTAAATATTTAATTTACAAGCTAAATATTTAGTTTACAAACTAAATGTTTATGTCCAAGATAAATGTCCATCCATCCATCCATTATCTTTACCCGTTTATTCCATTTTGGGTCACGGGGGTCGCTGGTGCCCATGTCCAGCAATCACTGTGCGAGGGGCGGGGTACACCCTGGACGGGTCGCAAGTCCATCACAGTCCAAGATAAATGTTTAATTTGCAAACTAAATATTTAACTTGCAAGTATTTAGTTAGTAAACTAAATATTTTGGTGTAAATTAAATATTTAATTTCCAAGCTAAATATTTATTTTCAAAACTAAACATTTAATTTTCAAACTAAATATAATTTGCCCAAGATAAATATTTAATTTCCAGACTAAACATCATTTTTTTAAGCTAAACACTTAATTCCTAAACTCAATATTTAATTTGCTAAATATTTAGCTCGGATCTAAATATTTATATTTCAAACTAAACATTTTATTTCCAAAATAAATATTTAATTTGCTAACGAGTTTGTAAATTAAACATTTATCTTGGATATAAACTTTTACTTTGTGTGGAACTAAATAGTTAGCTTGCTAAATAAATATTTAACTTGCAAGATAAGTATTTAGTTTGTAAACTAAATATTTAGCTTGTAAATTAAATATTTAATTTGGAACTATGACATTTATAAATGTACGAATGACATGGTGAAAATATGACTTTGAAAAAACAAAAAACTTTATTTTTATTTTTATGAAATGCTAAATAAACCAAAAATATTGCTGTTAAATAAAATTGAAAGTTGTAGCTCTCCTCCCCTGAGTGAGCTGAAAGTTTTGATATATAAATGAGCACATTTAAAGTATGCTGAAGTAATCAGAAAGAAAAAAAAACATACGAGTCCTGAATCATTTGCACATTTTTACAAGGTTTAGCTACCTATTGAGAGTTCAAAGGTCAGAGGTTTGGTTCCTACAGATGGGTCAATCATCGTGACTTCAAACAGAGACGCAAACAGCAGGAACTCCTCCTTCTGTCCAAGGTAACCCTGAATGAAAAGAAGAAAATCACAACTCTGTTTGTTGGAACATTTTCTTTACAACCGTTTTTGTGGTTAACGTTCAGAGCTTTTGATGTAAATAAATGGAAGTGAGCTGAGTCAGTGACGGTGGTTCTGACCTCAGGCAGAGGGTGGATCTCCTCAACTTCCACTGTGACAGACTCTGGTACCTCCACTCCAACCTCTCCTGACTCGTCATCAGCCGGTCTGCTGGCAGCTGGAGACAAAATGACAGAAACTGGGATGATTTCATACGGTCGGTGAAACATGAAACCAGCTACCGACAGCTGAATCTGTCATTCTTTTATCGATCAGATCTTTATTAGAACTAACCTTCCTTTATCACATTCTTGCTGCTCTTCTTTTTCTTCAGTCCAAACTTCCCCAGCGCTCCTTTCACCTTCAAGGACACACGATGTTGATTCACAAGTCAGATGAAGGACTGATGATGTGCGTTGCCAAGGAAACAACATGGTGACTCTAGAGACTCATCAAACTGGAGATAATGACACGCAAACACGACTACTGTCTGACAGGTGGTGCGTCTCTGTGGAAAAACTCTTTCCTACCTTGGCTGCGGCGGCAGAGCTTGTGTCTGAGGCGACGGCAGAAGGGGAATTGTAGACATCCATGCTGAGAGCCAGGAGGATTCGCCCTCGATAGAAGAGTCCTTCACCCAGCCCCTCGTTCAAGGCCTGAAAGAAACAAACTCCTGCATTTCTTTTTCTTCTTCTGATTTATTTATGCTGACGGGTCAAGAGTGACACCAGGTAACGACTTTACAAGACGTGTGGGAAACAGAAAGACTGAAACAGAAGTATTGTGAGAAACTTCATGGCTCACGAATATAATGTGTAAAAAAATATGATGCACCTTGTTTAGAAGTTCAACCAAACAAATGGTGCAAGTTCTTGGTCTGGTGCAGGGGTCTGCAACCTTTACGACCAAAAGAGCCATTTCTGCCCCTTTGCACACTAAATAAAACGTCTATGGAGCCGCAGAACCTGCTAAAACTGTGATCACCAACTGGTGGCCCATGGCCCACTTCAGCTTGTTGGAGGCAGCTTTTCCAGCCAGTAGATGTGATTTTAAGAAATTAAAATAGCCAGTGATTATTAATATTTATTAATATTTTTATATTTTAGGGCAAAAGAAAATATATTTACTTATGTAAAGAAGAAAAAAAGTTTTTACCAATTTTATAAAAATTCAAACACAAATGCAGGCTTATGTGATTATTATTATTTTTTTATTATTGTGGAACATTTTTTATAAAGTATCATTATGAAGTAATAAAGCATAAAGTTAAAAATTAGGCCAGTGTGTTAGATAAATAATTTATTTTTAAATTTTAAATAAATACTTCCATTTACTTTGTTTTTTCTTAAATTTTTATTATCATGTGGACTCAGCAACTTGCCTTAAAGGTATTCTCCCAAAAACATTTGATGGATTTGAGAAAAAGATCACATCGCAAAACTGGAAGTGAGCTAATTGAAGTGGCTAACAAACTACTAGCATGATGTAGTAAACAAGTTTTACTCCTTGTGTTATACTACCATTCACATGTTGGCAAAAGAAATGACCAGAGAACTGTTAAAACTAGCCATTTCAAATTGTTGGTACAACAACAAACTTAGTTTTATGTTAGTTTTGGTCAAAACTAGAGCCGCTGCAGAGGGACCAAAGAGCCGCAGGTTGCAGAGTCCAGGTCTGCTGCAATCATGTTGTGTTTTATTAATTTATTTTCTCTAAAGTTAACAAAAGTTACTTAAAAAATAATTTTTAAAAGATTTGTTCATGCTTGGGAAGAGGGACACTTTTTGTTTTGGCTCTTTTCCTTTGTTTGCCTGGAAACAGCTTGATCAGGCCCACTGCCTGATGCTTGTGTTACTGAAGGAACGTTTTGAAACGTGTCAGCTCTAAAGTTAAAAGTCTTGGTGTTATTTTTGATCAGGACATTTTTTTTTTATCCCCCACATTAAAAACGTTACTAGAACCACCTTCTTCCACCTGCGTAATATCACTAAAATTAGAAACATCTAAAAAAGATGCAGGAAAAACTGGTTCATGTATTTGTCACGTCTAGACTGGACTTTTGCAATGGTTTGTTATCTGGGTGTCCAAATACTTCTTTAAAACGTCTTCAGTTGGTCCAAAATGCTGCTGCCAGAGTCTTAACTGGAGTTACTGGGAGAGATCATATCTCTCCAGTTTTAGCTTCTTTCCATTGGCTCCCTGTCAAATCCAGAATTTAATTCAAAATCTTACATGTAACCTACAAAGCCCTCAACAACCTAGCTCCATCTTATATTACAGATCTTATTGTTCCATATTTTCCCAACAGAGAACGTCGCTCTCAGACCGCAGGTTTACTCGTGGTTCCTAGAGTTTCCAAAAGCAGAATGGGAGGAAGATCTTTCAGTTATCAGGCTCCTCTCCTGTGGAACCAACTCCCAGTTTCTGTCCATGAGGCTGACACATGGTCCAGTTTTAAGACTGGGATTAAGACTTTCCTTTTTCATAAATCCTATAGTTAGGGTTGGCTTGTTGTGCTGCTATAAGCTTGGACTATACTGGAGGACAAATTGACATCATTTTCTTAAATAAATTGTTAAAACTGAATAGTTTTCATTTGATACTATTTCTATCTTAACATCTTGGCCTGCCATTGTGTATCTATTCCTATCAAACCCAGCCGGTAGAAGCAGATGTCCGCTTGTCCTGATCCTGGTTCTGCTAAAGGTTTCTTCCTCATGAGGGAGTTTTTCATTCCCACTGTCGCCTTCATGCTTGCTCAGGATGAGAGTTCTGTGATGGGGTTAAACTCAAAGCAGTCTGCTCCTCAAATTAATAATGTTAAATTATTATTTTATTATATGAATGTTTCTGTTCAGTGCCCTGAGACGACTTCTGCTGTGACTTGGCGCTTTATAAATAAACTGAATTGAATTGAATTCAAAGTTATGATACCCGAAGTGTTTTCTCATTAAAACAAAAAAATTAAATTAAAGAAGTACACACATTTAAATGCAGAATGTAAACAAGTTTCAGTGTAAAGGAAAGTGATCTAATTGTCACTAAAATGTAAAAACATTGTTTTATTGAGTGTATTTTACCTGGTGGACATCTCCCAGGGTGGAGTTCTGCTGAGAACCGTAGAGATGGACCCAGCTTGGACCAAAGGTTGGGTTGAACCCTGCAGACAGAAATGTCACTCAAAACTGCAAACATGATAAGGAAAGTGAACATTTCCAGCTATGATTCACTGATTTCACACATTCTTTTCTTTTCTGTTTCTTGTCACATCAACTTAAAATCAATCTGTTTTCAATTTTGGATTTTTTTTTTTCAACTACTTGTAAAACTTGAAGTTTTCTCATCAATAAAATTGCAAGCGTTTAGGTAAAACTGAAAGAATAATTTAATTACTCTGTTGTATATTTAAAATGTTACTCTACTCAGGTTAAGATTTTTTATTACTTTACTATGAATCAAAATAATCATCAAATCTTGTTGAAAATGGATGCAAAGCAGTGTTAGAACAAGTTTCATCTTAATTTTTTTAATTAATAACTTAAATTATTCTGTTTTTGCACTGAGACAAGGCACCTGTTGTCACTTTAGACGTGGACGTGCATTCTCTTTGTTCAAGTCCTCCACATACATTAATGCATAGGAACAAATATTAAATATTTTAACAACAATTAAATAAAAAAAATTCAATATAAACTTTTTTTTTGACATTGTGCATCAAATGAAATCTCATATAGACGTCTTCAAGTAAAAGTGCTTTGTAGAGTATTTTACTTTTAAAATAATGTAAATATTTCCTTCAACGTTGCCAAAAACTTTTAATTTGGGATATTTTGTATTGTTAGTTGTAAGTAAAATAAAATTAGTAAAACCCTTAATAAAAGATGATTAGATGTAAAAATAAAACAGAATCGTGGATATTTATAGCACATAAAATATAATATTATTTAGTATTTATAGTATTATAGTACCAGCAAAGTGTAAAACTTGCTTCTGTTAACAGATTAAATCTCGTGTTCAGACGTCTCAGTCCAGATAAAAGTTGAGTTTTCTGGGCTGTTTCTGGGTCATACCATTCCTTGTAGGGTCAGAAATCTGCTGCAGGTCCAGGAAGTGGGTTGCCAAGGCAACGTCTCCCATCTTGGCATCGTCGAGAACCTGGACTTTGATTCGTTGAGCCAGCGGAGGAAACTGCTCGATGAAGGAGATCTCTTCGTTCCAAACAGGACTGCTGGTGGCGCTGGCAACTGAAGTTTCACCCTGAAAACAGTCAAACAGAAGAAGCATCAGGTTTTGCAAATAAAACTTACTCTTTTTGATAAAAACTTCTACAAAGCAACAAAAATAAAACTTTGTATTTCCTTAGTAATGGATGACCTGTGAAGATTAATTATTAAAATACTTTTTTTTTTTAACTATTCGTGTTCAGTAGAAAGTTTTATACACAAGGAAAACATATTTAGTATGAAATAAATAAAAAAAATACTAGTAATATCACATGCTATAAAGGAAATAAATACACAAGTTTGTGAAACTGAGTACCTGTTGTCCAGCAAAGGTCACCTGCACGTAGGGGTCAATAAATACTGCCCTGTCAGTGACAGACACCTTGGCCATAAGCCCCGCCTCCATTGTTGGCAGACCCTCAGCCCGATAGATCCGGATACGGAACCGAGCCCACGGACGCTCTGAAGGCATGCCTCGAGGAAGCAGCAGGTGTCTGTAAAAACCACAGCACATAAGAACCTAAGCCACTTGCAGCAGATGTTCAGGGACTTTCTTTAGTGCCTGTTAAAGCACCGATAGATTTATACTAACGTGCACTAACGCAACACACTGACCGATAGTTTATCCAAAGGATGAATATTTAGCCTTGATCAAAGTGTGTCCCTCTTTAATTAAACGTCTGTCGGCGCTGGTCAAATGAAATTAAACCTCAGCTCCTGGTGGATCTGAAGCCTTTTGGCTTTTCTGACTCGTTACGTCTGCTGTTTGAGTTGCTTCTTATTTATGAATTGTTTTTACTGTTTGTGCAAAATGATGGACACGACTGACTTTTCTATGTCCTCGCCTCCTGCAGACGAGGAGGCTGGTGGCAGACTGGGCATTCGCAGAGCTTCTCCCTTCATCAGAACACTCAGGCTGGCCTTGACGTAACCCTTCACCCCTGACCGGGTGTCTGCCGGGTCGGTGAGAGGAGCCCACTTCTGGTAGAATCGGTGGTCTGGAGCAGCAGAGAGGTCGTAACATGGAGAGCACTGCGGGCTTTAGGTGAAATGAACGAGTTATGAGCAGCACCGGTACCTGGCTGTCTGTAGACGGTGGAGATGTCGATCTTAAAGGTTCCAATGTGGGTCATCAGGAAGGCCAGAGCCCGTCTGTGGAACACCTGAGTGGGAACATCACAGGTGATCATTCCATGGCCACACCCACTGCGTCTTTCACCACAATATCAGCAGTAGGAATACGGTTAAAAGGAAAAATAAATCAAAATAAAAAAGTCAGACAAACCTTTATCTCTATGACTTCATCAAAGAAGATCTGCGGAGCCTCCTGGAACTCAAACTGGAAGTTCTGAAAGAGCAAAAAAAAAAAAGAACAGAAACTATTTTTTTATTATTATGTTAGCATTAAAATTTGCTGTACAACGCTTTCAAAGTTACTGTAGTGCACAGAATGTAAATATTCTGCTGTATTCTACTGTTCTGCCCTGAATTCTCCTGTATTTTAATTTGCTGTACTGTGCGTTATTTCAGCATTTACTAATCACTTCAGCTTCTGATCATCAATAAAACGGTGGCAAAGACCCGCAGCCTGCAGACTTGCGGGGTGTAATGCACAAACATCGCTACTGAGTCTCCTAAATAAGGACAAAGTGACAACACTAACAACCTCAGCCATTATAACAACTCATTTCAACAATTTAGGACTACTGTTATGTGCCCGAGTCACATTATTGTTAGGCTGACCTTCAGGAGCTTCTCTCTCAGAAGCTCTCTCCTTTTGGGTTCATTGTGGTTTTTGACTGCTCTCTGGCCGCTCTTGTTTGTTTTTTGAGTTTTGTTCTTCATCTTGTTTTTTTTTTAATCACCAGGAGCTGTAAGCTGCAGCTGCCAGCCTCAGACTGAAGGTAATTTTTTTGTTAACTTTTGTATATTTTTGTTGTAACTTTGACCTGGTGGGACCAGTTGTCCTGTTTTTGCTCTTTCTTTTGTAATAGATGTTTGTTTTTAGGGTTTTTTGTAGTCTTAGTCCGGTACCTGCAGCAGCTTCGACGGCCCTGTATAGGGCTGGCCCACTGCGGTACCTTTTGTTTTGTCTCACCAGATCACCAGGTCCATCTTTCTGTTTTTACTTTGGGCTTTTGTCTTTTTAGTGGGCACAGGAATTCAGGGTTCCTCATGACTATTTTTTTTACAGGAAGCTGCAAATTGAAAGTTTGAACCCTGAGTCCGTGTCCTCCTTAAATATGTTGTGGCCTTGGTGGACGTAACACTACAAAGATCATCTATGAACCTCATAACAGTGTTGGATGACCCACAGTGGTGTCACAAGACCAACTTTGGGAACTACTACTGTTTTTTTTTTGTTGTTGTACTATCTTGAAACATACAACAACAACAAAAAGAAACATTTACATTGTCATTGACTCTGTATTCTACAATCCTGATGAGTTTGAGGTTTGGCTGAGGGTTTTATGAGTCCTGCAGCTAAACAGAAGCTGGTTCCAGCTAAGAGGACAAACTGAAACTCTACTTCTGATTTATTGCATTAAAAAGAGATTAACTGGACTCCACTCCGACTTGTTCGACAGTTTTATTCAGAATTCTCCGCTCTGCCGTACGTACCTCATTATAGAACGGGCAGTTGGTGGATTTCTGCGTCGCCGTGTGTTTTTTCTGGCCACCCACTCTGATAAAAACTGCAGGGTTGATGTTTACACCGACAAGCTTCTGAGCCTCCAGGATATTCACATTCACCTGCATGCAAACGCAGATTCACACAAAAATACACACAGAGATCATCGGCGTAAGAAGATTTCAGAGTCAAAGTCTGACAACTTTATTAAATCAAACAGGCAACCAGTTTGTAGCTTCCCAGTCACTTTCAGTATACATCATCAAAACAAACATCAAACTTCATGCTCAGTAATCTAAGTCAGGTCCTCTGGATGGTTTCTTCTTTTGTCGAAACATTTTGTTTTTCATCCAAAAGACTTCATCAGTCAGAGGAGCCACAACAAGCTCAGTCTTATAAATAGCACCTACACACAGTGGGTCAACCAGTTTGATGGTGATAAGATGGTTTCTGGAGTCCGCCCTCTCCCCCGCCATAGCCAAAGTGGTTCAAAACATCAAAGTTCATGCTCAATAATCCAGGTGAAAAAGTCGGCGGGGGAGAGGGCTGACTCCAGAAACCATCTTAGCACCGTCAAACTGGTTGACCCACTATGTGCAGGTGCTTTTAAGACTGAGTTTGTTGTGGCTCCTCGGACTGATGAAGTCTTTTGGATGAAAATGAAGCATTTCAACAAAAAGAAACCATCCAGAGGACCTGACAATTTTGTTGGAAAACATCACATTTTACCTCATCTTTTGCTACATTTAGCTTTTACAGGTCTTTTTGTTATGTTAGCCTTTAGCAAGTGTCTACCGATTTAGCTTGCAATTAGCTTCTTTTAGCTTTTAGCTCGTGTTCTGCTTGACTATGTTTCAGCTTCTTCTGTCATTCAACGCTCGCGTTCACAGGAAATGCACTTTCATTCTTTCACTCCGGAGACTTTTTAACAGACGATCCATCATTTCTCTGCACACGAAACGATTTATTATCAGGCTCTATGAAAGTTAACGCTGATTTAAACAAACATCTGGAGGGGAATCAAAGGGAGTGACACAACATCCAGCAGCTCCAGGACACAGAATCTGACTCAGCTGCTCCTTAATAAAAATATTACACCTTTAGGAACTGAATTATCCAAACTGAATGAACTCACCTGAAAGCTCTGGACCCGGGGCATTGCTGCTACAGAACTTCTTGACAGTGGTCTGCATCGACTGCACAAACAAACAAACAAACAAACAAGCAGCAGATGAGTTTCACAGCATCCTGATGGGTCCGAGCCAAACACACTGACAGACTGACCTCAGAAGAGGAGTGAGGCGGATATCAGTCGTCTCCATCTCCACAAGCTCATCGTCGTAATCATCATCAAAATCCTCGTCGTCATCTTCATCCCCCGTCCGGACCAGACTCCGACCGAGACGGCGAGCTTCTCTTTCCAGCTGATCTGGGCGAGCAACAGTCAACCCCCTGATCGGGAAAAAAACAATAAAATGATCTGCTTTGTTTGATTGATCCATCTGAAACAGAAGAGTTTACATCACACGTGGAGCTTCACCGTGTTTTCACCTGTGAGGAACAAGAGGAGGTTTTTAGTCAGTTGTTTTAGTAATCTCTACAAACTTATACAAATTCAACATCAAGCTTTAATAAATCTGTTTTTCCATCAGGAGGATTTTAAAGGAGGGATGAGCAAAGTTTTATCAGCTTTTTAGTTAAACGTTAACTTTGAGCACAGGAATATGACGTTTCTTGTCCAGCACATTGAAGTCAACTCTTCTCATCAACAACAAGGAGATGAGAAAATGTCAATGAGATGAGATTCCAAGCCCAAACTTATGGTACTTTATCTGACATTAACTTTACGTTCACTAGTATTATACTGTAGTAAAATGAGTAAATATTAAATTAACTCACTTCTCAGGGTCCTCAAACGCCTCATTTCTGATGACCAAAGCTGATCTGAAAATGAAGACAAAACCAAATGCATGAGAAAATTTAAAAATTGTGTAACCTGAAATTTGATCTGAACTCCAAATCCTTAACATCATAAAGCAGTATAAGCAATCTTCTTCCGTTTCAGGTTTTTGTGCAAAGTTGCTTCAGAAACATCCGTCGTGGGACGTTTGTTGTTCTGCGTTTTTCTTGAAGCTACTTCTTCAAGGAACAAAAGAAGCCCAAGGACAAATCACGCACACCTAAAGGTACGTCGAGTAAATTCAGAGTGAACGTACAAATACTTTTATTTTGTCTTTGACTGTAAAACGCAGGAGCAGCGTGTGGTCCACAGCTGTCACCATGGCAACGAATTGCTTCAATTTTTTCCACATTACAGCATCTAAAACTGAGAAATGACAAATAATCAAAGAAGGAAATGGAAAATTGTATCTGTTTTTTGTTTTGTTTAAATTAATTGGTGTAATCGATCGATTTAACGGATTTTAAACTGCTTATTCCATCAAACAGAGTTTATTGAATTTGATCCGAGGTGTTTGTTAGAATCCATGACACTTTTCGGTCACATGTCTGAATTGATCTATTTTCATTCAACTAACTAAGTCCTGCAGGCTCTAAAATATATTATTTAACATAAATCGTGCGCAATTTTGGTTTCATAAGAACAAAAAAAAAAAAAACTGATTAACTTTGGTGTGAATTTGAACTTTGTTTTCAGATTTTTCTTTTCTTTAAACTGAAATTTCAACAATGTTTAATCAAATAGAAATTGTAACATGTGTTTTGCATGATCTTTGTCTCTGAAAACATTCTGTGTTGTATTTCTGTTATTACATGTCATAAAAGCTGTTAAGCTGTTCTACCCTGAAGCTGTTAGACTCATAAATCCCTAATCAGGATAATCACTGCAGGGAGAGAAAAAAATCACTGTAATGCCACTTTAATTGGTGATATGTGCTGCTGATTATCCTTGCTGCTGATCTCATGCTGCTGATCTCATGCTGTTGTATTAACTCATATCCTTCTGCTCACCACAGACTCATGTTCGGGCTGATCTTGCACCGTATTGTTTTATATTATTAGTGTATATATTAGATCCTTATTTACTGTTTCTTTTTATACTTTATATTTTGCTATTTTTGAGTTTAACTGGGACGCTGTGCACATAATTTCATTCCACCTCATGTGATGGAAATGACAATAAAGTTGACTTGAACTTGAAAACGGCTGGAGATTCGAAATCTTTATTTGCTCTTTGCAAACGTTCGCTGAGTCTCTCCTACATTTAGGTTGAAAGCTCGTCCACGGGTCTGTGTGGACGTGACCTTACTCGTCGTCGTCTTCAACACTCAGAAAGTCGTGTCCCGCCCATTGTCCAGCTGTCCCCTCCACCGGATGGAAGCGGATGTCCACCTCAATTATAATCTAAAGAGACAGAAAGTAACAAAAGCAGCTGAAACCCAAACTGTGTCTCTGTTCTGTGGTAAAATACTGTATAATGATACAAGGTAAAATACAAAATACAAGAGCAAATTTATTCTTGTTTGTAGTCTTTTACCGTGTTTATAACTTCTTTTATTTGATTTTAATAGCTTTTTGTTGAATATTGTGGCCTGTGCTTTAAAGGTTATCTGTCTAAATCAGGTCTTTCTTGTAAATGAGTCCTCGTCACGCAACGAGACTAACCTGTATAAATAAAGGTTGAATTTTAAAAAACGTGTGTGCCTTTGTTTATGTTACCTTGTAAGGTCCATTTTTCCAACACATACTACATTGTCATTTAATTATCATTAAATCTAGATAAAACATATTATATGATATTCAGTAATAGTAAAAGAAAAGTTGATGCTCCATTTATGGTAGAAGGAATTGAGATTCTTAGAGTTAATGAGGTGAAGTTCTTGGGCGTTATTATTGATGAAAAATTGACATGGAAATCTCATATAAATAACTTAAGAACAAAAGTAGCAAAATCGATAGCAATTCTGTACAAAGTAAAGGAGTTATTTAATGAAAAAGCACTATTTATGTTGTATAATGCACTAATTGGTCCTCGTTTAAATTACTGCATCGAAGTCTGGGGTAAAGCATGTAAAACAATTACAAACCCACTTTTTATTTTACAGAAAAGAGCAGTACGAATTATCACCAGACAAAAATTAAGACATCCATCAAATGTATTGTTTTGTCAACTGCAGATATTGAAATTCTATGATTTGGTCAATTACAGCATTTTGCAGATTATGTATAGGGCTCATAAAATCATATTGCCCGTCAATATTCAAGTACATTTTATTAAAAGGGAGAGTGTTTATTTTCTTAAAGGGATAGAAATGTTTGTGAAGCCTTATTTTAGCACTAGTTTAAAAGAATGATCCTCTGTAATCCAGGGGATAGGATTATGGAATGGTCTGGACGATACATTTAAAAATGCCAGATCTCAACATATATTTAAGAGAATGTTAAAGGAGAGTTATTTGACAGAATACAAAAAACTCCAAATTGAATCCACTAAAGTTATTGTTTGAGTTGATGATGTTGTTCTTTAGTCGATGTTGTTTTTAAATCACTGAAGTTGTTGCACATCTTGCTTTTTGTTTTTGTTTGGTAACAAGACAGTAAGGGTAAAAAAATGGGGCAGATATTATAAGATTAATTCTTCTTCTGCTGCCTTTCATTTTATTTTGACTGTATACATTTTTTATTATTATTTTTGAGTTGTTATGGTTTTAATGCAATGAAATGAATAAATTAAATAAATAAATTGTGAGGACCAGCTGCTCCTTATGGGGCCCAAAGCCCGGGCCCCAAGAAGAAGTGCCGTTGGTGGTTTAGGGGCTAGGTTTAGGACTTAGGGTAGGTTTAGGTATGTACAGGTAAAGGCACATGTGTCAAACTCAAGTGTCAAGCTCTTGTTAACATCCTATCTGGCCCTCAAGATGATCTTTTAAAAGTAAAAGTAATTTTATCGCTTCTCATTTTACCTAAAGACTGAGTAGACCTCATTTAGTGCTGACTTCTCATAACTTTGAAGTCTAGAAAAATAAGTTTGAATCTTATTTTATTTTTTCCTGTAATCTTTGATTTTTGATGTGGAAAAAGCGACGCAGAGCGTCAAACGAAACTCTTGCTGAGGAACCTGCAACCAAGTCAAGATGTCCGGTATCTGACTGGAATGAATGTGTTGACAGAAAGTGAAACACATTTGTAATTTTGGTCCCTTTTGTGACAGTTTGACACACCTGGTTTAGAGCAAGGGTCAGGGTTAGACTATATAAATGAATGAAAAATGAATGGAGGTCAGTGCAAAGTTCCTGTAAAGATAGAAAGACAAATTGTGTGCGTGTCCTCACATCAGTCACGCTGTAGTTGGAATCAGTCAGAGGTTCTCGAAGCAACAACCTGCCGGTGGTGACTACATGCTGGAGACTAATGACCAGACGGCCCAACAGTCTACAAACACACACACAGAGGGAGAGGCATTTGTCATATTGGGCATGCGTGCGTTCGTGCATGCGTGTGTATTTTACCTGTTGGAAAAGACTTTGCTACAGTTGAAAACACTGATGGACAGAACCTCATCATTGATCTCTTTACCGTAGTGAGGCCAACGGAAATGCTGCAACAAGAACAAAAGACGAGTCACAAAAATAAATTTGGACAATTGTTTTATTTTCATCTTTTAAAAAAACACAACACACGTCAGGACGTTGTTGCCTGAGGCCCTTTCCAGTTTTTTGTCCACTTGACCCTTGAAATTTAGAACCAGGGTGCAGACTGGGGAGGAGAAAACATCTCTGGTTTGGACCTCCCATGATCTCGTTTTATTAAAATGACCACGTTGCTCCTCAGAAAGAAATATGTTATATTTTGTTAACAGCAACGGGAATTGAACACCCACCTTGTGATTTAACTCCAACAAGCTTCAATACAGAAAAAAGTCACAATAAGTCAACAAAGTCTTTGAATTAAGACACTTTTTCCTCCAACACTTTCTGTAAATTGAATAATACAGTGTGAATTATGATTTCTGATCACTAGCTAAAAGCCAAATGTAACAAAACACTAACCACAAGAAGCAAGTTGCCAAACGGGGCCAACACTAGCTAAAGGTAAAAGTAACAAAACAGTTACTTCTGGTGGCAGTAAAGTGATTTCTGTTCCTATAGAGGCCATTAAACTGCTAAAAGTTAATTAAAAATGTCATTTAAAGTTTAAGTTTTTTCACTTGGCAATATAAAATTTTTTAAAAATTGTGCATCAATTTGTTGTTTAAGCAATTTTTTTTTGTTTATTATTATTATAACAAATTCCACCAGAAGCCTCACATGTTTAAAATTCTCATGACTGAACGCTGGATGGATTATAAAATGTATTTTTCGTGTAAAATAATTACTATATAAAATTATTTTGATGACACAAAACCCAGAGGAGAAGCGAATCGTTCCTTTGGACGTTTTCCCGAACATTCATTAACTCCTGAACATGAGGGACACCCTCACCTGGTCACACCTGAAGAGCAAACACCCGTCTGCTGCTCCTGCTCACGTCACACAGAGCTGATTGTTTAACTTCACAGGTACGGCCGGCCGAGTTCACGTCAACAAACGGGCGGCGAAGTAAAAAATGGCTACAAACTTTTTTTTTCCTTTTTCCAGGAAATCTACTAAATCAGATTCTTGTTTTATTAGGATGAAAGGGTGAGAATCAGCAGGTCAACTTCAAAACACTACAATACCCATGAGGCTTAGCTGCTGTTGCTTAAATCACACTATGATCTAAAGACCTGGGACTGTCAGAGGGGCCTAGGGCGTTTCAGATTAGAGCAACGATATCAAAGAATTATTTATACAGAACCAACGAGCAAACACTTTTATAACTTAAGAAACAAAATACATACAATGTTTTTTCGAGCTCGTAAGCAAAATTTGTGACAGGATGCTAACTACCACGAGCATTTGTTTACCTACAGAAACAACCAAAGTGAAGACATTTGAGATCCAGCAATTGTCATGTGTTGCTACATATCTACGCTCAGACTTTACTCATCTAACAAAAGTTTTACAAAATCAATCAAAGCTCCATGAGAAAATCAACGTCTCCACCAAATGTGGTAAATAAATAACAAAGCTGCCGAGCAATTTCCCTCACAAGCAAAAGCTCTCACATCCTGGTGTCTTTGACAGGAACGTTAGTCGTTACGGTCCACTAAGTGAAAAATAGTTGAGACAGATGTTGTTGAGCTACGTTCATTTGTTACAAAATGGCCGACTAACATAAACTCAGTGTTCACCTAAAAGCATCCGTTTATTTGTTCTCTATGGAGAAAAGAGGAATAAAATGTGTAGGTGTGTGTTTGTGATCAAGGAGTGGTTGTGTGTGTGTGTGTGTGTGTGTGTGTGTGTACTGTAGGAGGGGTGATGTTATCAACTCAATTAAAATGGTTTCAATCTGAAGCAGAGAAAAAACTGCAGCTGTCTGGTTTTAGTCACCGTCGCACTTTAACTCTACAGTTTGTGAGATATTATCAACAGAATTTAAAAAAAAAAACTTAAAGTTTCAAAACGCCCTCGTTATCATCCACAGCCATTAAAGATGGGCGATCATGTAAACACCTGTGTGGGTCTATTTGTTTGTCTGTTAGCAAATTATCTCATGAACCAATGGATGGATTTTAATGAAACTCTCAAAACGTAATAATTGGATTTACATCTGTAAACAACCTGTTACCTTTTAAAGTTAACCCAATTCAAGATGGCTACCACAGCTAATCTACCACAGCTAATCGACCTCAGCGAACATTGAAATGGATAAAGTTTTATAGAAAGTTAATAATTTTGGTTGTGGTAGTAGTTGGGACTCTTCCACATCGCATAACAAATATTGTTTAAAACATTGGCATGCGGGCAGTTGGCAGGTTGTGTTTCTTCAAGGAATGCTAGTTTTAATTGACCAAAAACTACTAAGCCTAAAGTTTGTCTTTTGCAAAGTTTGAAAGGAGTACAAAAACTAAAAAAATTAATACAAATATAACAAACATTATGAAACTTCAACTCTCAGTAGCTCATTGAACTCATATCCAACCAGAGTGACTGCATGCAAACTTGTCAACATTCAAAATTGAACTAGATTAGGGACAGGTGAGCTTAACGACGGTAATGCAGCAGAAAAATGTTCACTATACTCAAATCTGAGATCTGTTTTATTTTTATTTTCCTTTTTTTTTAATAAACTTCTGTTTGTAGCCAAAGCAATGACCTCCTGCTGGCCACTAGAGAGCATGCAGGATAATTGGCTTCACTTTTCAGACCTGGAGGGCGCTTAATTTCATCTGACCCTCAAAATAATCTGCTGTTTCTGCAGCATGAACTCGGTTACTGACCTCATTGAAGATGGCCACATTCTCGCACTTCAGTACTCGGGTTTTATGGGTGAAACCTGGAGGACAAACAGACTAGTTACCATAGCAACAGGAGTCACGGTCGTAATCCAGCGGACGAAACCCAAACCAAACATTTCACTGGGACGACAAAGGCGGAGGATTTAACAAAGTTGAGAGTCGAATGAAGAGTCAGTAACTGTCTTCTTATGCCTTATGGATTTTAATTTTAGTTTTCTTGAAATTACTGGATTTTTAGGAAATAAAAATAATAAATTTGTTTTTGCCCTATTCTACAGGAATGCAGAACATTTTTGTTTTCATTAAACTCAGACCCAGTAACCACGGATATTTTGAGAGAAACTTCAGAGATTTGAACTAAATCACATCTTTGTTTTAATTGAGCATTATTTAAGTATTTATTTTACTGTTGGGTCACTTTTTAAAAGTGACTTATTTCATCGAGGCTTCCTTTTTGTAATGAAGTTGTTTTTTTACAATGTAACTAAAGTTTTGTTTTTACATCAGACAAATAAAATGCAGCCTAAAAATCAGCTGAGGGGATCCCACGGAGCACTTCCTGTTTAGCCAAATTAAACATTCATTCAATCTTTATTTATACAGATTAATCCCATTGAGCCTCGGGGACTCATTTACAAGAGAAACATGATGAACTGTATTTTGGAGAAAATCAGCCCAGGTTGTTGTTTTGTTTTTTCCTCTTGATGAGAACAAACATGGCATCTTTAACATCTGTAGCTTAATAAACTTATTTGATAAATCTCCAAGTTTGACATCTTAAAGGCTTATTTTTGTTTGTTTTTTCAGTAGTTGTATAAGAACTGAGGACTTTGGTGTTATACAACTGTTTCCTCAGCTCTCCAACAACTGACTAAAGACAAAGTTTTGTCAAGATTTGCTTTTGAAACTTTGAGGAAAGGCTTTCCGTCCCTTAGAGAAACAGCAAACAGGTACTTGACTGGGAAGAAAATTAATGAGGCGCTCAGCCAGGTGTGTTTGTAGAGTTTACCTCTGAAGGAGAGTTCAACCTTCCTGTCCGATCGCCCCGGCAGGTTGGAGATCCTCTTCAGATCCACACTGATGGACATGATGGACACTGTCTCCGCTCCCCCGTCTACATGACTGAAGCTTGAGCAGGTAGAAATCCCTGTCTCTCTGTGAAACTGTACGTGTGGGCTTGTTGAAGTGTGCCGTTGGGCAGGTCTTTCTAATGTTTGATAAAGCAAATAGTTGCTCAACTAGTTTCCTCTTTAGTAAAAAAAAAACACGAGGCCGCCACAAAACATGTAACTTAAATCTTTTCCCAGTTATAAATTAAAACTATACAGCTAATCATAAACTTATGCATTCACTAAATCGATTTATTTAAAACCTTTGCAACAGTAATGTCAATATATCTCTTTTTTTGTTCGGTCTTACCTCTTTCTGACGGTCTAGTTTTTTCTTCTTTCGGCTGCTCCCTTCTTCAGGGGTCGCACGAAGACTTGGTTTTTAGGCCGGATGCCCTTCCTGACGCGACCAACCACCGAGCCACCACGGCCCTCTGTGTGGAGCAGAGCTGCCATCTAGGGCACCCAGGGGAGCAGATGGTGGGGGTTAAGGGCCTTGCTCAAGGGCCCAGAGTGAGGAAACTGAGGGTGGAGGCAGGTGTGGGTGCTTCACCTTTTCCTTTAATGTTGTTGGTCACGGGAGTTGAACAAGCAACCTTCCAATCACAAGCCCATCTTCTCTAACCTCTGCACCACCACTTCTTTATTCTGATCATCTACAATAATGTAGTAAACATTTAAATCAAAAGCTGCTGTTTTTTTTTTTTAAATAAATGTCTGTTTATGATGTATAAAAATATAAAATGATTAAAGTTTAGGCAGCACGGTGGCGCAACTGGTAGAGCTGCTGCCTCTCAGTGAGCAGGTCCCTGGTTCAAACCCCAGTCCAGGGGCCTTTCTGGGTGGAGTTTGCATGTTCTCTCCGTGCATGCGTGGGTTTTCTCCGGGTACTCCGGTTTCCTCCCACAGACCAAAAACATGCATGTTAGGCTGATTGATAACTCTAAATTGTCCCTAGGTGTGAGTGAGAGTGAATGGTTGTTTGTCTCGTTTGTCTCTGTGTGTCCCTGTGATGGACTTGCGACCCGTCCAGGGTGTACCCCGCCCCTCGCACAGTGATTGCTGGACATGGGCACCGGCGACCCTCGTGACCCGAAATGGAATAAGCGGGAAAAGAAAATGGATGGATGGATTAAAGTTTAAAACCAAAAGCAGCAGATTCTTATTAGAAACAGTCCTCCATGGTGTTTGTTTTTGTTTCGTATTGTACACCATCAGCTAAAAGTAGTGATTTGTTTTAGCCAGTGTTCTGCTGTTTGCATTAACAACTCAGTTTTAGCTTCTTCAGCTAAAAAGGTTGAATCATGTCATCTGGACTTCGTTTTTTTGTTAAAAAGAAACGTTTCGCCCCTCATCCAAGAGGCTTCGTCAGTCTGAGGCCTAGCCATCTGGTATTACCCAGAAGCCACCCTGACTCTTGTGTTTCAAGCCTGCCTCAGATACCCCTGAAGTCTGGCCTTTTCACTAATGGTTTCAAAAACACAAAGTTTGTTTTCTCAGTCTCAGTTTCGTCAGTCTGAGGCTAGGCCTCAGACTGACGAAGCCTCTTGGATGAGGGGCGAAACGTTTCTTTTTAAGAAAAAAACGAAGTCCAGATGACATGATTCAACCTTTTTTGTTGTTATATACCTGGATGACTGAGAAAACAAACTTTGTGTTCTTCAGCTAATTTTAGTCGTCATTCGGCTTCACAGAAAATCCAGTTTCTCTAGTTGACTCTTGTAAACAAGGCTTGGAAAATGCTGCCGATCTGTTCTAACATTTCTGGTTGAATTTATTTTTCTCAGCTGAGCTCCGAGGACGGTTTGAGCCAAAAAGACTAGCGGCAAAAGAACAAAACAAGTTGGCAAAAAAAAAAAAAAAAAAAAGGATTTATACTTGAAACAGTAGCAGCTCTGCTCATTAAACATCAATTATTTTTCCAAAGGTCGCTTTATAATCATCATGTTAAACGATAAACTGGCCAATTAGTTCAGTATGTAATAATTCGCACGATGCTGTAAACATCTGAACACAAACATTCCCAAACGTTTCTACTTCCAACCCGCAGAAAACGAGGTTAGAGCGTGCGTCACGTGGAGCTGCAGTGAAAATACAGCTTGTACAAATAAAGGAATACAAACACTTGTTGGGATTCAAAGGGTCGATTTATTGTTTTTTCAAAAGGGGTCATTCTTAACATATGAGGCTCCCAAATTGTGTAAAAAAATACAAGATTTTGCTTCAAGTCGAGGTTTAAAAGCAACGAGGATCATGGCAACAATGAACAAACGATATACTGCAGTTTGGCAGAAATACATGGAAATATCTCAACTTAAAGGTCCACTGAACTGGTTTTGTTCAATTAAAAAAGCAACAACTCATCTTTAATTCAAAGCGGTCAGGAATAGATGATGTGGTTTTGTATGGAAATTGTGTGGAAACAGATAAAATAAGGCAATCCAGGCTTTGACAATAATCATTCTCAGAACCATCTCACGTCTTAAAAAAGTACAAACGGTGAATGTGGGGTCTTTTAGCAAAAATACTTAAAACTCTTCCCAAACAAGACAATCTCTGCTGTAAACTAAAACAAACATAAACTGAACAGCTAAAGAAAAGTCCAGACTGTTTAAAAAAAAAGAGTCATTGTGGCAACGTTAAAGAAGCTTTTTCTGCATTCCTCTTCTTTAAATTTGCAACATGAAAAAGGCACAAAATAAACGATTAGAAGTGATTTAAAGTGGCTAACGTCCTGTGGGCAGCAGTGCGGTTTCATTACATAAATGTGGCTTTATAAACATGAGTTTTGACACATTTGACATTTATTTAAGTGTTCAGGTCATTCCAGTTTAAAGAGGACCCACAATGAGATGATAAAAACTAAAACTTGGTGCAATTTCTGATTTATTTGACGACGTATTATCAAGTGGAACTCTCAATGAGTCTCAAAATTTTCTGTCTATTTGTGATGCGTGTCCTAAATTTAACCACAGTCGTCACGGTCTGGACTGTTGAGCTCAGACGACACAGTAACACCTGAATGCAACACTGCAGTCGATTAATTCAAAGTAAAAATGGTAAAAACCTGATGAGCTGGTTGACCTGAACGCAATACTGACTAAGGGTGAAAAGTGGCTCGTCAGCTCTGCGCCGTGAGCCGAGACGGTAGAATAAAAACCGGTAATAGAAGAAATTAACCATTCAAGACAAAGTGGCTGAGGAGCAACAGAACAGCTGCAGCCCAACATAAAGTAAGGCAACAGTAAAGTTTATAAGGCTTCGAGGAAAGCGAGTACATTTCATAGTTTTTCCAGCATTTTATGTGTAAGAAAAGTGCAAAGTATTGGCACCGAATCATTAAAGCTAATCAGAACCACACACAGCTGGTACAAAAAGGAATGAGAACGACCTGCCATGGAGGGAACCTTCGTTTGCTGTTCCACTAATGTCTACTAGACCAGGGCTCCCCAACGTTTTTGGCACCACGGACCAGCAGCAGGGATGTGAATGTGAGGGGAGGTCATGAGTTTCACTTTTATTTTGTTTTTTATTTAATACAACTTCTTATTCTCGGCCCAGCAGTGTTGACCACAAAATCTGGCTGATTGGAGTCGCCGTTGAGACGTACCAGTGCAACTATGTGGCTGACAGAAATCAAGCGGAGTGGTTCTGACCCAAAATAACTGTTATCTGAATCTGGCTCCCCCGTATCGGCCTTGAATTGGCCAACTATCTCAAACTCTCCTGGATGTTTTGTGAACAAGAAGCTCTGCTACCTGCTCCCTTCCTGAGAACATCTGTGGACCTGTGTCAGAGCTGAGCCGGCTGATAGATACTACCATCTCTTATCAGGACTATGGAACTATATGGCAGTGTGCACGGACAAATTCACCGCCTTCGTCGGCCTTCCTCATGCATATGTCATCAGTATGTTGTCGTTTCTGTGCTGTTGTTTTTTTGTGTGTGTTTGTTTTTGCAACTTTCACACCATGTCCCATCTAGGACACAGTGCGAGATGTTTTTTTAAATACCTCCCCTTCCCCCGTGTTTCTCTTTTCCTATCTAAACGAAAAAGGCAGCGCCTCCCACGGGGCCGCGGCCTCAGACACCGCCGTCTCCCCATATCTGTTTAAGTTTTACTTGGACGGGCTGTACTGAAACGTAATTTTGTTGTGCTTCGGTGCAATGACAATAGAGCTGATTCTGAGTATTACTGCAGTTAGCCACTATGAACTCAGTGCAGACATTTAATGAAATGGCGGATTTCAGCAGCAGTTTCTGAACTTCATTGTAACATTTCTACTTTACTTTTAAAAACTCAAAGCTCGTCTTTTAATGGCGGGGGATCAGTTTCCATGTGGTGAAGCAGTTTTGAAGGTTTCAGGGCTTCGATGGATACCAGGTGTGAGTGTTTGACACACCTGACTGATGTGATGAACCCGTAGGACTCATTTTATTTTGGTGGCAGTTGTTGAGCCTTCTGCTATCTCTTCATCAGATCTGTTCCCTTTTTCAAAGAAGCTCTCCAGCTATATATTTTTTTAAAACTCATTTCTGCTAAAGTTGTTAAATTTAGTTTAAGAGTTTACCGGTGAATGAAAAGAAAACTAACCTAGTCAATATGAGTCAGTATCATGTTGCTAACTGGACCATGTTGCTAATTAGAGAACTTCACCGTCATCACAACTACTCTGCCAATAAGACCATGCTGCTGTAAATTTATTTCTTTTTCACTTTTGGCGCCTTGTTTCTGTATTTTTGTTGCATGCTTTAAATAAATCCCAGTTTATGTTAATTTAGTTTATGTCAGTGCCCACATTAAACGTGTAAATTATAGCCAAACCGAACCTATGAGAATCGTACTGCTGCTGTTTGGTGAATTGTTTTGAACTATTAGTGACTGGCGTATATCTTAATCTTTCAGCGTACCGTTTGGCGTTCATTTAGCGTGTATCTTAGTTTATATCTTAGATCCTTATTTACCGTTTCTTTTATAT